CAAAACACAGAAGTTGAATCAAATGCACTTTTACTTCAGATAAGTTCACAATAGCTTTGTTAGCAGGTGTTAGACAGGCGTTTGGGAAGCATTTTTAATGAAAAATGTATGAAAATTCTACACATGGCAGCACACAGTGCTGTTCACACTGAAGCGTTAGTGTCGCGTCACGTTGCGGCAAAATTGACGGCTCATGTTGAGTCAGGAGAAGTTGAAGCCTCCAATTCATATCTATGATGATGCTCCTCAAATGCCTGGCAGTCGTTTGCGGGGTGTTTGCGAGCTGCTTGTGAGGCATTTGCGGAGCATTAATACCATTAAAGTTCATTATACAGTGGGTGTTTGTGGTGCCGTTTTAGCGCTTGAAATACACCTATCAAACGCCTCAAAAACGCACAGAGGGTGTTTGGGGAGCGTTTGAGGAGTATTAAAAATGCGTCCTAAACATCTGTCAAACGCTATAGGGGCATTTGGCAAGAGTTAGAAATTAGTCAAGTGTGAACGAGCCCTAACACTGACTGAGGGAACATGGAAAAAACAGGAAAAAACTGGCACTAAGCAGGAGTGGAGGGCAGAAAAAGCAACCAACATCACATAGTAAACAAGTTGTAGTGGCTTTAAACTGCCACTAGAGGTCATCATGCCGCAGAACAATATTAACCTGATTCAGATCAATAAAACACAGAAAAATGACACAAAAGTAAAGCTGAATAAGCAGTACATTGGCTGGAGCTGAGCCGATAACCTGTTGAAAAGCTGTTGCAGATATAAGTCTTACCAGTCATAATGATGTTGCTGGACACGTGACTGAGCCCTTCTTGTCTTTTTGGAAACAACAGGCACAAGAAATTACAAGAACTTTACATTGCACACATAGGACTTACACTACCATCTAGTGACAGAACTATTAATCACCATATAAAGTATGGGAATGGCTGTTGCACCTATGTCTGTACAAATAGCATGCCAACACCCCCACTCAACAACTACTTCTTCAATAGAAGTCTAATGTTCCACGTCCCTTTCAGAGTTTATTTGCATGATTGAATCTGCCCCACTTCCACATCAGTTTTATTTAGTTTGTACCTTGTTCTAAATATTTTCCATACTCTACAAATATTTATTTGAATTTGTAATGATTTAGGTAGCATTTCAAGCTGAACTCCAGGCAGACAACATATACAAGTAAAATACATCTTAGCCTGCGTTCCCTGCTGTGCACATATATAGCAACCTTTAAAAGGTCCCCCACTGTCACTTTATCGAATGTACAGGGCAAGCTTCTGAGTTAGGTCAGTACAGGGACACCCCAGAACAGATATCGGGACGATTTTACTACTGGAGGCCACAAAGGGTATAAGCCATCAAATGCCCTAGACCAGGGGTGGGCAACTGTGGCCCTCCAGCTGTTGGTGAACTACAAGTCCCATCATGCCTCTGCCTTTGGGAGTCATGCTTGTAACTGTCAGTTTTGAAATGCCTCATGGGACTTGTAGTTCTACAACAGCTAGAGGGCCACAGTTGCCCACCCTTGCCCTAGACCAACGGCTTTTATTGATAAATAAAATTTAACTATTGGGTGTACTAGTTCTAGGTATTCACAGTCTTTACATGAAAGCCAGAACATACAAATGACTGTCCATTGGCTGTGTTGGTTCAATTCTTACTTCTCTGTATGTAATTAATGATTTTTTATAACACTGCTTGCTGCAAACGAGGAAGACCAGCACTAGTAGAGCGATAGCCTCCAAATATACGCTGCAGCACCTAAATATAACTGCAGCTGAAATTTCAGTTTTCTCCTACTCCCCTGCAAAGTTACAAATACCTTCTATACCTGCCAGCTAGTCCCACCTAATGCAGCTTCCTTTGATAGTGTGGCAACAATGCAGCACTGCTCCTGAATTCAAAGCAGGATTGTCACCTCCCTGTAGGCTGTGTCCGCTTGCACTACAGTGGGATGCAAAATGTGGCAGGGTCACCGACATTCTCACTGCTGATTCGTAAGTCTGTAGGTGCAGGGTCCATGCTAGACTACTTTGTGAGCTAAGGCAAGAGCATCTACTTGCACCCCCCAAAAAAAAAAATGTACACACTGCCCCCTTCCTGGACATACTAACCCCCTTTAACCCTACACCCCTCTTTCTATATACACTGACCTTCTTCCTGCACACACTGCCCCCCCTATTTCTCCTGCAAACACTGCACCTCTTTAATGCTACATCCCCTTCCTGCACACACTGTGCCCTTCAACCCTACACCTCCCTTCCTGTACACACTGCCCCCCTTTAACCCTACACCCCCCTTTCTGTATACACTGCCCCCCTTCAACCCTACACCCCCCTTCCTGTACACACTGCCCCCCTTCAACCCCACACCCCCCTTCCCGCACACAATGTCTCCTTTAACCCTACACCCCCCCCGTCCAGCACACACTGTCCCCCTTAACCCTACACCCCCTTCCTGCACACACTACTACCCTTCTTGCACACAATGCACCCTTTAACCCTACACCCTCTTCCTGCACACACTACTACCCTTCTTGCACACAATACACCCTTTAACCCTACACCCCCTACCTGCATACACTGCCCCCTTTCCTGCACACACTGTACCGTTTAACCCTACACCCCCTTTCTTCTTCACACTGTGCCCTGTAATCCTACACCCCCTTTCCTGTACACACTGCCCCCCTTTAACCCTACACCCCCTTTCTGTATACACGGCCCCCCCCCATTTAACCCTACACCCACCTTCCTGCACACACTGTGCCCTTTAACTCTACACCACCTTCCTGTCCTCAGTGCCCCCTTTTAACCCTACACCCCCCTTCCTGTACACATTGCCCCCCTTTAACCCTACACCCCCCTTCCTGTACACATTGCCCCCCTTTAACCCTACACCCCCCTTCCTGTACACACTGCCCCCCTTTAACCCTACACCCCCTTTCCTGTATACACTGCCCCCCCCCCCATAGACTATATCCCCTTGTAATGTTTGTTGCCCCCTCATTGAACTGACCTGAGCCGCCTTGCCAGACACAGCGAGCAGTGCATGGCTGGAGTACCCAGTCTGTTCATCCCCGATCAGTCCAGCTCAATACTTCCATGGTTCCACCTGGCACCTGAGTTTGTCCACCTGATCCTGCAGCCTCAGGTTCTGGCCTTACAGGTCGTTGATGGACCAGGAGAGGGGCCCCACCAGGTGGAGCTGCCTCTCCACCTCCAGCTGCCTTTCAACCTGTGCCTGAACTCCTCCATCTCAGCATGTAGCCCTTGCTCAGTCCCCCATAGCGGACATTCCCTCTCTTTCTCCAGTACATACCTGCAGACCAGCCACACCAACGCCTCCACCCCATGCTCCATGTTGGAGGGCGATGACAGGCAGCAATCGTGGCTTTGGGCTGACAGTGAACCAAAAGACCTTGTCTGCTGCTGGGATCTCAGCTCACTTCTGCTGTGTGCAGGTGCACCGGTGTGTGCGGGGGAGGGATGGCGCCTCTAGAGGTGACATCCACCCAGGATGAGGTGACAGGAGAGGAATGTGGCACTGGCCACAGCTGCACCCTAGGTGGCCGTGACCCCTAGGCAGCTGCCTAGTTTGCCTAGCGGTAGCGCCGGTCCTATTATAGGTGGTCAGTAGGCACCTGGCCACTCCTAGTCCTGCCCCCTGCTTTCTGGATTGACTCTTTCTGAAACCATCCTGCTGTGAGTGGCAGTGTCTGGAAGAGAAGCATGTGAGACACAAATGTACAAAGAAACACTAAAAACAAAAAAAGGTGCTACAACTCCATTAGGAATCTATCTCAGCAGCTACGCAGGTGCACAATCCACAGCTGCTGTTAGGCAAGACACGAATAGAAAAAAAAGGATCCGCACGACTGCCACTGTACTAAAATCTTCCTCTTTATTGAACTGACCACAAAAGATTACATCAAAAATACAATATGTGATGCGTATTGGCTAAAAAGCCTTAGTCATAAACCATAATATACATCGAAAATACAATAGGTTGACGAGTTTCGGCAAAAAAGCCTTAGTCATAACCCATAATGTACATGAAAAGTACAATAGGTTGACGCGTTTCGGCTAAAAAGCCTTAGTCGTAACCCATAATGTACATCAAAAATACAATAGGTTGACGAGTTTCGACTAAAAAGCCTTAGTCATAACCCATAATGTACATAAAAATACAATAGGTTTACGAGTTTCGGCTAAAAAGCCTTATTCATAACCTATAATGTACATCAAAAGTACAATAGGTTTACGAGTTTCGGCTAAAAAGCCTTAGTCATAGCCCATAATGTACATCAAAGATTCAATAGGTTGACGTGTTTTGGCTAAAAAGCCGTAGTCATAGCCCATAATGTACATCAAAGATTCAATAGGTTGACGTGTTTTGGCTAAAAAGCCGTAGTCATAGTCCATAATGTACATCAAAAATACAATAGGTTGACGTGTTTCAGCTAAAAAGCCTTAGTCATAACCCATAATGTACATTAGGGGTTATGACTAAGGCTTTGTAGGCGAAATGCATCAATCTATTGTATTTTTGATGTAATCTTTTGTGGTCACTTCAATAAAGAGGAAGATTTTAGCGCAGTGGCAGTCGCGCGGATCCTTTTTTTTCTACAAATGTACAGAGATCTGGCTTAGTCAGGGAGAGCAAAGAAATCTTTTTATTTTACCTTTTGAGGCTTGTGCATCACATAGGAACTGGATCTGATAATTCTTCAGACTGTCATATAGGAGCTTTTAGCTTTACTTTAGCACATTGGTGCAATGTTACAGCTGACCACTAGAGGCGGGATTTGCACAAGAAACTGCAATCCAATACACGACACACTCCATGCAGATTGTCCTTCCCTGAGTCTGTCTATGCAAATTTCCCCCAAAGACTTTTCACTTCCCAAAATAAATTTTGCAACACAAAGAAAACATTTTCCAAACATGTATTTTGTTATTTATGTCGGATAGTTTGTCCAGGTCCTGGCGCGCTCCTCAATCCAGCTGACAGTAGAGAGCTTTGTGGAATACGGTCCCTATAATCAGCTTCTTCTTGTACACTGCGGCTACAGATGACCCCTGAATCACCGAACCGTTATTGACGTAAACCCGAGTCACTACTGGGCGATCTGAATGAATTTTCTGTATACGGATAACCTGCAAAATCAATATAGCTTCCATTATGTCTTCATTCTGATTCTCAGTCATAAATACAGCATAAATGCCTAGGACCTCATTTATGAAAGAGTCTAAAGAAGTAATTACATATAAACACAGTCACATTCTTCCTTTCAATGTTTTAGAATGCTTGAATGCTACAGGGCAAAACGCACTGTTGGAGACAGATTTATCCATGCTCTGAGAGATAGTTTGTATTGATGTCATGTTGTTATGTTAAGACCCTACTCAATATTTTGTAAAAGTTCTTCCAGGTGTTTAAACAAAAAGAAAAAAAAGCCCACCGAAGCTGCAATACTCACCTTCAATCTGGAGCTGTCCCTCGCAGTACCTCTTCTTTGCCATGAGTTGTTCTAGGTCAGTGATGGCGAACCTTTTTGAGCCAGAGTGCCCAAACTGCAACCCAAAACCAACTTATTTCTTTCAAAGTGCCAACACTGCAATGAAACCTGAATATCGAGCTTTTGGTTTAGAAAAAACAACTCGTACAGTAGTGCAAACTAATTAACAGTACAGGGATGACCAGAGACTGCGGACACAGTACAGGGATGACCAGAGACTGCGGACACAGTACAGGGATGACCAGAGACTGCGGACAGTACAGGGATGACCAGAGACTGCGGACACAGTACAGGGATGACCAGAGACTGCGGACAGTACAGGGATGACCAGAGACTGCGGACAGTACAGGGATGACCAGAGACTGCGGACACAGTACAGGGATGACCAGAGACTGCGGACACAGTACAGGGATGACCAGAGACTGCGGACACAGTACAGGGATGACCAGAGACTGCGGACAGTACAGGAGATGACCAGAGACTGCGGACACAGTACAGGAGATGACCAGAGACTGCGGACACAGTACAGGAGATGACCAGAGACTGCGGACACAGTACAGGAGATGACCAGAGACTGCGGACACAGTACAGGAGATGACCAGAGACTGCGAACAATACAGGAGATGACCAGAGACTGCGGACAGTACAGGGATGACCAGAGACTGCAGACAGTACAGGAGATGACCAGGGACTGCGGACACAGTACAGGGATGACCAGAGACTGCAGACACAGTACAGGGATGACCAGAGACTGCAGACACAGTACAGGGATGACCAGAGACTGCAGACACAGTACAGGGATGACCAGAGACTGCAGACACAGTACAGGGATGACCAGAGACTGCGGACAGTACAGGGATGACCAGAGACTGTGGATACAGTACAGGGATGACCAGAGACTGCGGACACAGTACAGGAGATGACCAGAGACTGCGGACAGTACAGGGATGACCAGAGACTGCGGACACAGTACAGGAGATGACCAGAGACTGCGGACACAGTACAGGGATGACCAGAGACTGCGGACACAGTACAGGGATGACCAGAGACTGCGGACAGTACAGGAGATGACCAGAGACTGCGGACAGTACAGGAGATGACCAGAGACTGCGGACACAGTACAGGAGATGACCAGAGACTGCGGACACAGTACAGGAGATGACCAGAGACTGCGAACAGTACAGGAGATGACCAGAGACTGCGGACAGTACAGGAGATGACCAGAGACTGCGGACAGTACAGGGATGACCAGAGACTGCGGACACAGTACAGGGATGACCAGAGACTGCGGACAGTACAGGGATGACCAAAGACTGCAGACACAGTACAGGAGATGACCAGAGACTGTGGACACAGTACAGGGATGACCAGTGACTGCGGACAGTACAGGGATGACCAGAGACTGCGGAAAGTACAGGAGATGACCAGAGACTGCGGACAGTACAGGGATGACCAGAGACTGCGGACATAGTACAGGGGATGACCAGTGACTGCGGACAGTACAGGGATGACCAGAGACTGCGGACAGTACAGGGATGACCAGAGACTGCGGACACAGTACAGGGATGACCAGAGACTGCGGACAGTACAGGGATGACCAGAGACTGCGGACACAGTACAGGGATGACCAGAGACTGCGGACACAGTACAGGGATGACCAGAGACTGCGGACACAGTACAGGAGATGACCAGAGACTGCGGACACAGTACAGGGATGACCAGAGACTGCGGACACAGTACAGGAGTTGACCAGAGACTGCGGACAGCACAGGGATGACCAGAGACTGCGGACACAGTACAGGGATGACCAGAGACTGCGGACAGCACAGGGATGACCAGAGACTGCGGACAGCACAGGGATGACCAGAGACTGCGGACAGTACAGGGGATGACCAGAGACTGCGGACAGCACAGGGATGACCAGAGACTGCGGACAGCACAGGGATGACCAGAGACTGCGGACAGCACAGAGATGACTGCTGACCTTTGGGGAGGGAGGGGGAGCGGGTACCTGAATTTGACAGGTACCCGCTCTTACTTCCGCAGAGTTTTTTTTTTTATCTTACCTGTTCCTTTATCCAGCCGCGCTCTGTCTTCCCGGCTTCTGTAGTGTGGGCGCTCGTCGGACAGCCGGATGCCCAGTGCGCATGCGCGAGAAGCGCTGCGCTTTGTGATTGGTCCGGCGGCTTCTGAGATCTGTCATGTGTCCCAGGTACCGCCTTACCATTCACAAAGAGCACTGCTTCTTGTGCATGCGCACTTGGGACCCGGCTGTCACGCACACTACAGCCGGGAAGACAGCGCGCCGCTGGATTCTCCTGGCGTGCCCACAGATAAGGCTCGGCGTGCCGGCTGTGGCACGCGTGCCACGGGTTCACCATCACTGTTCTAGGTCTTCTGAGTTGGAAGACATCCAATGTCTTTAAACCCACAAAACTAATGACTCTAATGTATGTCATGGCCCCACCCCTGAGGAGGCCTCACCACAGTACCCTTCATTCATTCATATTGGTGCAGAAAGTGGCACTGAGGTCACCACATCTGTGACACACACAGGTTAACCTCCTCGGCGGTATGATTATTTCAGATTTTTGGTGCTGAAAGCAGTACCATTATTTTGCATGGAAATATGTAGTTTTTTATTGTAGGCTGTAATATTTAGGAATAACTCACTGAAATCTGTACGAACAAGAGTCTAGTAAACATCCCGGGTATGATAAAATTTGAAACACAAAATCATAAATTATAATTTAATAAATAATCATAAAAAACAATAATATAATAATAATACATTTAATTCAATAATATAATCAAACCAAAAACACTGAAATTTGAAATATAGCGCCAAGTTCGCACATCACTGAGCAAAGTCGCAAAATTGTTGTCAGTGTCTGATGAGGAATTTCCCCCACGAATCATTATCACTCAATTCTGCAAGTGGTTCTGATTTACTATCGCTGTTCTCTAGCTGGTCTAAAACCGCTTTTGACCTAAAGGGACGCTTTTTGGACGCCATGGACTTTTCTAAGTTTCCAGGCAGAAAGAACAGTAAAAATGCAGACAGGGGACAGGACAAAGCATTTGGGACAAAATGTATGTGAAATGGTTTGAAACAGGAATGTTATACTATGTAAAATTTGTTTTGAAAAAAATGACATTTTTAAAAAATGTTCAAATTTCCCGCCGGCGGCGGCGCCCGTACATCACAGGGACCGGAACACAGAAGCCGGATGCCGGCATCGGCCGGAGGAGATGGCCGGGGACGCTGCAGGGGACACATCGCGGGAGCGAAGGACAAGGTAAGCGCTGCAGGGACTCCCTATGCAGCGCCGCATGGTAAGCCCGAGTGTAGCTCGGGGTTACCGCTTTTGGTACAGAAACTTTACCCCGAGCTACACTCGGGAATACCGCCAGGGAGGTTAAACAGCAATTAAAGGTTAATTTCCCACATCTGTGGCTTTTTAACCCCTTGAAGCCGACTGTACGCAAATATTCGGCCTCTTGGTGGCTGGGTCTTGATAGCGAGTTGCCGCATATTTGCGTACCCTTTGAAAACACATATGTGCTGAGAGCGTGCGGCCTGGGCTTTCCCAGCACATATATCAGTGTCTCAAAGAAAGGTCCTGATCTCCCCTTGCGAATGGGACCTTTTCCAATCATGTGACCGCCGTAGCAGCGAATCACGGCGGTCACATGACCCTAAAACCCCGCCCCACCTCCCGACATCTGAAACCCCTTAAAAGGCTGGGAGGCGCCAGCGTGAAGAGGTTTAAAATTGCAATTAGTGTCTGTGTAAAAATAGTCAATGGGTTTGTAAGCTCTCATGTGGATGCACTGACTAGGCTAGATACTGAGCCATGGGGAGCAGAAAAGAACTATCAAAAAACTTGTGTAACAATGTAATGAAACTTTATATAGATAGAAAAGGATTTAAAAAGATGTCCAAAGCCTTGAATATGCCAGTTACTACTGTTCAATCACTTATTAAGAAGTGGAATATTCAGGGATCTCTTGATACTAAGCCAAGGCCAGATAGACCAAGAAAAGATTGCAGCCACAACTGCCAGAACTGTTCAGGATTCAATGAAAATTCGACAGGTAACCTCAAGAGAAATACAGGCTGCTCTGGAAAAAGACAGTGTGGTTGTTTTGAAGGAGCACAAAAATTAGCTGCATGGTCAAGTTGTCAAAAAAAAAACCTTTACTGCACTGATCGCCAATTGGCAGACCTTTTTCAGTCATGCCTCTTCAAGAGAAGCTGGACGCTTGGCCGACTTCTGTCGGCTCGGCTGCCATACACACTGGCCAAATGTCAGCCGGTTTCTATTGAACCAGCCGATACCGCCTGATATTTGGCATGTGTGTACAGGGAAAAGGTGTCCTAAGGTGTGAATATAAATCTTCTTGACACGGTAGGAAACAAAGAAGTGTCCTGGTACACTATGAAACACCATCAGCACTATAGGACATATCCAGCTGAATGTGACAAGCTACCACTAGATATGCCATGACCTGGATAAACGAGAAAAACACCGCTGTGCTAATGCTATTTACAGACTGCATCATATATGTCACTTCTTTGTTTTGCTCATCGTTTCACTTTAAGGGTTCATGTACACGGGGCGTTGGGAAAACTCTTCTGAACGATGGAAACTGCTGGAAAACGTAGGATAAAAAACGCCAGTTTAGCTGCGTTTGCATACCGCGTTTATGTGCGTTTATGTGTGTTTGCGTTTAGAAGCTTTTTTAAAAGATAACCTCAGGAGACCTTCCCAAATGCCCAGAATGCACTGAAAAATGGTAAAAAATTAACTATTTCAGACATTTTGAGAGGAATAGAGAGAGCAGAAACAGAGAGAGCAGTATGTGTGGAGATGACCCGTCTTTTCTGGTTGTATTCACTATGGATCCCATCATGAGCATAATGCGGCACGTTTTACCATTTTTTTTTTCCTTCACGTGAAACCTGGAACTGACTGCGCTGGTGTACCGGGTCCATTTGAATACATGGAAAGTGCTTTGCATGCATTTCTGATGAAGAAAAAAGGCTCTGGACAGCATCTAGATATGAAACAGTCAAAAATTGCTTCTAAACGCAAATGCTTCTAAATGCGGTTAACCACGCTTACAAGCATTTGAAACACTGGTAAAATCTACTCCTGAACGCAAGTTTGGTGCGTTCAAAAAAATGAGTGTAAACTCAACTGTCTGTACTGTGTACATGGACACATAGGAAAACATTAGGGAGAGTTCAGGGGCTGCTGAAAAAAAACACCGGACAGCTCCTGAATGTCAGTTTAGAAGCTGCAATGTACATGAGCCTCTTCTCCACACTATCCAAACCTTTAAAATGGCTGGAGTCAGGTTTTAAAGCACAACTATGGCTTAATTAAAAAAAAAAGTAACATCGCAACACCCTGCAGTAGTGAAAATAAAAAAAAAACGGTAGCTCCTGCTGTACTAATTACCTTATCTCTGGTGCTGTCCCCACCGACTCACCACTCCTCTATGATCCAATACCATTCATCTTCTGGATTGAATGGTGTCCAACATCATAGAACCCACCCTGAGTCCATAGTGTCAAGGATCTGCCCCTTGAGGGCATGTCATCAATTCATCCTGGACTCAGAGGGGTTGCTACATGGAACAAGTGTGATCATTACATGGTACCCATAACTAAAGCATTCAGGACGCACCCAGCGCTGTTGACATTCGAAGACCCAGGACATCATGGGGTTTATTTACTAAAGCTGGAGAGTCCAAAATCAGACTCCCTTCTGCATAGAAACCAATCAGCTTCTAACCTCAGCTTGTTCAATGAAGCTTTGGCAATGAAACCTGGAAGCTGATTGGTTTCTATGCAGAAGGGAGTCTGATTTTGGACTCTCCAGCTTTAGTAAATAAACCCCCATGTGTCCAGATATTTTTTTTTTTTCAGAGAGTGCAGGGATGCTCCGAAGGGGAAGGAGAAGGAAATTTTGGAGTATATAAAGAGAGAGTAAACCCTTTAATGTATTATCATGTATTCACTAACCTCTGATAAAGGGGGATCTTCATCTTTGTAAAATAATATTTTATGTAAATTTGGGTGTGCTCCTGTCCAGATATCCCCAGTAACTGGATCCACAAACAGGTTATCCGCGCAAGTATCTACATGAACAGCCTGGTGGGAAAAAAAAAGAAAATATAACAGTGTATTTTATATTCATGAACATACAGGAGAATAACAAAGAGAAAGAGAGGAAAGGGAGAGAGAATGAGAAAAAGTGAGGGGAAAAAACAACCCAAATAGGACTCCAGCCCAACAGAGATGTCCATCTGAAATTTATTACTTGCATTACAGAAAAAGGCACTATCATAATAGGACCACCTACTAAAGTCTTAGGCTCCATTCACACTTGTGTGACTCCAAAGTCGTGCGATGTACATTGCGACTTTGATGCAACTTTGGATGGGTGCAATTTGGATGTGAGTTTGGACGTTGATTTTGGCATTGACAGTTGCACAACTGTCGCCTTGATAACATCAAAATGCAATTTTTATGTGATTTTGAGTTTACAGTACAGTCTATGGCACTCGAGTCACATGAAAGTCACATTAAAATAGTACAGGAACCTTTTTAAAGTCGCTGCAACTTTAAGTCACAGATTTGAACAATTTCCATTGAATTACATAGGGCTGCAACTTGTCGTGACTATGTGTCCAAAGTCACATGACAAGTCACACGAGTGTGAATGGAGCCTTACTGACCAACATGGACCAAGCTAAACTATGTGGCCTAACAAAATCTCCAATAAAGGTCAAAACAAACAATTCCAAAGAAAAAAAACATCAGGTAATGGAGAAATGAAATAAACTCCCAGCAACTATTTACCAATCAATACAAAGAGACCATAAACTGGTCATATACCTGAAGACTGTACAAGATCAGAAAGACAGGCCTTGATCCTGCACAGTGCTCAGAGCCTGGAAATGGGATCAGGGTGACAAAGACAGACCTACAAACTCAAGAAAAGTAGACACTGCCAGTTGGGTGACAAGGGGGTGTTGGAGAGTGAGGCCCAATTCCTGTTACAGTGCCTCAAGTACTCATCAGTGAGGGACACTCACTTTCAGAGACCTTCCACTCTCATCCCGGACTTGACTTCTCTAGAAGAGAAGAGGAACCAACAGGAAAAACAAAGTACTGTTCAAGTTTTAGGCTTGAGTGTCAAAATACTGTAAATGAAGAATACTTTCAGAAATAGAAGTGTTGATAGTTTATTTTATCAATTAACAAAATGGAAAGTAAATGAACAGAAGAGAAGTCCAAATGAAATCAATATTTGGGGTGACCACACTTTGCCTTCAAAACAGCATCAATTCTTCTAGGTAGACCTGCACACAATTTTTGAAGGAACTCATTAGGTACATTGTTACAAACATCTTGGAGAACTAAGCACAGATCTTCTGTGGATGTAGGCTGCCTCAAATCCTTCTGTCTCTTTATTTCAGAGAGACTCCATGATGTTGAGATCAGGGCTCTTTGGAGGCCAAACCATCACTTCCAGGACTCCTTGTTCTTCTTTACACTGAAAATAATTCTTAATGACACTGGCTCAGGGGCGGACTGACCATTTGGAAACTCGGGCACTGCTCGAGGGCCCAGGGTCTGTAGGGGGCCCCATGAGATGCCCCTGGTACTTTTTTCATAGGCTTTTTTGAGTTTGGGCAAGGACACAGGGGCCTCATGATCCCCTATTGCCCGGGGGCCCCATTAGTTGTCAGTCCACCCCTGATCTATACTCAGACAAAACAGTTAACAAAGTGCACAGACTATTTGCCAGTAAATCAACCTCAAAGCTGTATGTTTGGGGTTGTTGTCCTGCTGCAGAATACATTTGGGGCCAATCACACGCCTCCCTGATGGTATGGCATGATGGATAAGTATCTGCCTGTATTTCTCAGAATTGAAGACACCATTGATCCTGACCACATCTCCAACTCGATTTGCAAAAATGCAGCCCCAAACTTGCAAGGTTATTGTACCACTTGTTATTATTATCGTACCACTCTCCAGCCCTTCACCAACAAACTGTCTACTGCCAAATATTTCAAATTTTGACTCATCAGTCCAGAACACCTGGTGCCATTTTTCTGCACACCAGCTCAAAAACATAGGATACAATATAAATCCCCTACATGGCCTCACAGCCTAGCCCCCTTTATAATATGATAACATTCCTGCACTCCTTCTTTTCTCATCATTTACCCTTAAAAATTACCAAGGACTTCCCCCCCCCCCCCAATCCAACCCATAGCAACTCCTCAGTTTCTTCGGTAATGACAAAGTGTATTGGTCCAGCTAGTAAAGATTTTCTGAAATGGAATTTGAGAGGGACAGAGAGAGAAAGAAAGAGAGGCACAGAAGGAAGATCAATGCTAACACAACAAGAATGACTGCTGACAACAATGAACAGTATAAAACGTGATTACCTTTACAGGGGTTAGGGTCCAGTTGGCATGTTTCTCGTAGACATTGATTGTGTGAGCCGTAAGGTCAACAGCATAGATAAATCTTAAAAGATAAGCAAATATATTGTGTAAATTAACAAAAATGATTAAATATATTTAATTAAAACCCTACTCTAGGCTATTTTTTTAAAAGCCTCCCCCAGGAGTAGGTAAAATAAGGAAGCAGCTTTAGCTTCTATACTCACCTCCTCTCCGGGACTGTCCCCAACAGTTGTTGTCCTGGAGGTGGGGAAGGGGGAGTTGATTAACCTCTGCACGCTGGCCGAACGCAAATGTGTGGCCTCCCGGCATCTGGGCCTAGACGCTGAGCGGGCCACACATTTGTGTTCTATTGAAAAAGAACATACAGTATGTGCTGAGAGCACATGCCCTGCGCACTCCCAGCACACATGTCCAGTACTCACGGAAAGGTCCCGATCTCCTCTTTCTATCGGGACCTTTCCCGATCATGTGACCGCCGTGACGGCGTGTCACGGCGGTCATATGACCCTTAAACTTAATTTGTAATTTTTCATTAACCCAGAGTTTAGCTTTAGAAGGACATTGTGCCTTTTGCAGAACTTAACTGTATCTGAGCACCAGAAACTGAAAATGCTATTTCATTTATTTTTAATATTAAAACACAAACTTACACATCCACCTGTAGCACTACCCCCAGTGGTGTATTTAGGTTTTGTGCTGCCCTAGGCAACACAAAATTCGCCCCCCCCCCCCCCCCCCCCGAGAGAGCCTGACATTGGCCAACAACAAACCCTGCCCCCCCACCTGAGAGAGCCTTCCACTACCATTGCCCCCATACACAGGCCACTACCCTCCCAGCAAGAGAGAGAAAGACACTCACATTCGCAGCTCTGGACATCCCCCGGGTCAAGCAGCCCGCAGCCTCTCTCAGATCCCACCTGGTCCACAAGCTGCCCCCCTGAAAAATGCCGCCCTAGGCAAATGCCTTGTTTGCCTTGTGGTAAATATGCCCCTGACTACCCCCTTAGGAGTTGCTGAAGATTTGGTCCCCCTATAGTCCTGCACAGCCAGGCAACAAGCATTTTTCACAGACTTGCATTCCCGGAGACAGTAAACAGTCCTTGAGCTTGGTTTTTAAGTTTTATTAGGGGTGTTGAACTGGGATGGGGTTGAGGGGTGTATGGGATGCCCAAGGAACAGTAAACTGAGAACAAGTTCCTGGCAACTATGTACTCATCTTTGCACAGCTTCTGGGAGAGCTCTCCAGCCTCTCCTGGTGTACCACCCCAGACCCCCAAATAAATCCTCTTCTTTACCCAGCTGTCTGGAGGAATCTCTGGGCAAGGGGATCCAGTGCCTGCCACTTTAAGCTACACAGTTCCAGGTAAGGAGCTAGTCAGGTTTCCCACCAGAATGTTCTTTCCCCTTAGATGGCCCAGAGGGTGTAGGATTACTCACTCAATCCTTGCCATGACCTGGTTTAGGCTGCCTTCAGGCCTTCTGCTGGGCTGGCTCTTTTCCTGGCTCCACAGGTAGTCCTCCCTCTGGGGACTGGTGAGGCTAAGTGATTCTCCTGTCCAGGTCCCAGCTTGACGGTAGGCTCCTTTTCACTGGGCCTCCTCCCAGGCTGCTGCATCTCAGCCTTCCTCACATCTTCCACCTGAACTCTCCTGCTGCTGAGCAGTCTCAGTCACATAAAGGCTGCCCTGGCCCTATGCCAAGCCTCCTGCTTAGGGATTGGCCAGGGTTCTCTAAGTATGTAGGCAAGTTCCTCCTCACCCCCGCCCACTGCTTCTAGAATCTGCTCCAAGATTCTAGAGCAGGAGGGGGGTATCAGGGAAATGACCTGCAAAACCTCTCAGCCCTGAGCCAAATTTGACCCTGCTGACATTTCCCCAGGCTGCTTCTCAGCCTCTCTATCTAAAAATTAGCAACTAGCTCCCCCTGAATATCTAGAGGCACATCTGTGTCTCCATGTTTTATTTTTTTGAGAAATCACTTAGAAAATAATGCCCCTAGCATGTGTACCATGGCCATCTTGAGTAAGGGTAGGTGATTCACGTAGCATTTACGTCCTGGAATCCATCTGCCCCTAGCTCAGGCATGCAGGTAGACGTTGTGCTTAGCTGAGAAAGCCCCTCCTTCCCTCCCCCAGATGATCCCCTGGGATATATGACATCATCTTAGCCTAGACCAGAAACCAACTGAATTAATGTTTAAAAAGGTTTAAAACAAGTAAATGTAATATACCTACTAATGCAGGTAGCATAGAGACTAAACATAGTTCATGTTGACTGAGTTGAGTTCCACTTTAAAGTCTTCAGATTGAATCTATTGCTGTACAATTGTGCGGCCCCAACACAGATCCGTGAGCTTAGAGAATGACAAGTTTGAAATCCAAGTGATAGTCAGTTTAGCTAGATAGGAAAACTGAACTGTTATATCCCATTTACTGATGTAATAATGTGAATACTGTGATTCGACATTTGGCCTTCAAGTGTTGCCCTGTTTGGTACTAACTATATTTCTTACAGTGATCACATTTTGTCAGCACTTCCAGCAGCTGATTTAATTACTTACTGAGCATGCAACTTCTTCATCTTTTAATCCTTGCCTATGTTCCTGCTCAAACCCATGACTGTTGCCTGTTTCAGAATGGCTCCTTTCTCTTGTAGTGTCTAATGGAGCCACCCTTGCATGCAAGGACTAGAGCTGTCTCTCCTCACACTGTGTGCATCAGTAGAAACACACAGCCCCATAGCCTAGAATGGCAAGTCACTTCCCTGGCCCTCCCCACCGCTTCTCCCTCTCCATGCTAACAGACTGGCTTTAGACACACTACCAGGGGCGGACTGGCCATATGGAAACTCGGGCACTACCCGAGGGCCCGGGGTTAGTAGGTGGCCCCATGAGATGCCCCTGGTACCTTTTTCATAGGCTTTTTTGAGTTTGGGCAAGGACACAGGGGCCCCATGATCCCCTATTGCCCGGGGCCCCATGAGTTGTCATTCCACCCCTGCATATTACACACTGTTATCTCTTTTCTATGAAGACCAAAAGTTCAGGGAAGCAGCACTGACAGAGCAGGAAGTTGTAAACTGCAAGAGCCGTGGTAAGATTAACAAATAGTTTACTGGGCAATGTTTATATTATTGAGCTTAATGTGTTCATCTAAAAAATTCTGAGGGTTTAAGGGTTTAAGTGTACCTAAAGGCACATTTCCGATAAAGGGAGGGTTATAATCCCTGTCAGGTTTTTTGCCATTTGTGTCCCATTTTCCTTCACTTCCTGTCCCATAGCCAAACAAGAAGTGAGAGGAAATCCCTCCAAAGTGAAGGAATCCTGATGTGTCACCAGAACTAGTGTCCCCATTGGAAGATTAAAAGATTACGTACTTTTTATCGTTTGATATGGCAATTCCATTACCACTGTAGAGTCCCAGCGCCACTTCTCGGACATCCCTGGGACTGTAATACACCACATTTGTCCATTTTAATCCAAGGAAACCCTCTACAAATTTCATAGGTACACTCTCAAAATAATAATCATTAGTGGCGTAAAAGCTCTCCGGTCCAACAGCGACAATGTCATTCACACTGTTAAAAAAAAAAAAAGATTATCAACTTTTTTCACATAAATGGATAAAAGACTTTTCTTAAGGAAATACTGAAGCTAAAGGTCTAGAGCAGCTATTTTTTTTACATTTTTACCCTAGAGGAACCCTTAAAATAATTTTCAGGCCTTGGGGAACCCTTGCTAAAGGCAATTCATTGAGTGATGACATAGATAAATTCACCTGCACTTTCGGTAAAAAAAATATATATTATTAACTTTTTTCACATAAAATGGATAAAAGTCTTTTCTTAAAGGAAATACTGAAGGTAAAGGTCTAGAGTAGCTATTTTTTACCTTTTACCCTAGATCAGTGGTCGGCAAGCCGCGGCTCGCGAGCCACATGCGGCTCTTTACACACTTTAATGCGGCTCTTCTGTGTGCCGGGCGCCCGCTCCCCTCCCTCCTCTCGGGCGGCCGCCCCAAAAGTCAGGACTCTGCAGCTAGCCCAGCAATGGGCAAACTACGGCCCGCGGGCCGTATACGGCCCAGCGGACCTTTTAATCCGGCCCGCGGAGCGTGGCAAACATTGGTTGTCAGGATGTAGGCGGGGCAGCGTGACGAACTCCTCTCCTCTCACAGTCCGCCCTGAAGACCGGAACGGCGCGGGAACACGGCGAGAGGAACGCGCGGAGCAAAGGTAAGTGAATTGACACAATATGGGGAATGAATTTCTATATGGGGGATGAATTACTATATAGGGGATGAATTACTATGGGGGATGAATTACTATATGGGGGATGAATTACTATGGGGGATGAATTACTATATGGGGGATGAATTACTATATGGGGGATGAATTACTATGGGGGATTAATTACTATATGGGGGATGAATTACTATATGGGGGATGAATTACTATATGGGGGATGAATTAGTATATGGGGGATGAATTACTATGGGGGATGAATTACTATGGGGGATGAATTACTATATGGGGGATGAATTACTATGGGGGATGAATTACTATATGGGGGATGAATTACTATATGGGGGATTAATTACTATGGGGCATGAATTACTATGGGGGATGAATTACTATATGGGGGATGAATTACTATGGGGGATGAATTACTATGGGGGATGAATTACTATGGGGGATGAATTACTATGGGGGATGAATTACTATATGGGGGATTAATTACTATGGGGGATGAATTACTATATGGGGGATGAATTACTATGGGGGATGAATTACTATATGGGGGATGAATTACTATGGGGGATGAATTACTATATGGGGGATGTATTTTCAGTTTTAAAAATGTGGCTCTCAAAATAAATTTCAATCGTGGTTTTGGCGAGATTTGGCTCAGTTGAAAAAAAAGGTTGCCCACCACTGCCCTAGATGAACCCTTAAAATAATTTTCAGGCCTTGTGGAACCCTTGCTGAATGCAATTCATTGAGTGATGACATAGATAAATTCACCTGCACTTGCGGTAAAAAAAAAAAAAATATATTATTATTAACTTTTTTCACATAAAAAGGATAAAAGTCTTTTCTTAAAGGAAATACTGAAGGTAAAGGTCTAGAGTAGCTATTTTTTTACCTTTTACCCTAGATGAACCCTTAAAATAATTTTCAGGCCTCGTGGAACCCTTGCTAAAGGCAATTCATTGAATAACAATATAGATAAATTCACCTGCACTTAGGTAAAAAACAAAACAAAAACATATCTATAATAATAATAAAAAATAAATAATAATACAAAATATATATATATATATATATATATATATATATAAAATAATATCTCAAAAGCAGCTAGCACAGTTTGTAGGCAACAAATATCAAGATTGTAATAAAATAAAAATGCAGCGCTTTCTTCCAAACATGAAATATATATGAAAAAGTCCTTCACATAAAAAATGTTCAGTAAAGCCATACATTAGAAGGCGGCTCAGGTATGTAAAAAAATACACAGGATAGTGCCAAGAAAGGAAAGAGGTCCTCCACGTTCACCATAGCACATAGATCCTCTTAGCCCAAGCTATAGACCACTTAGGATATAAGCGGTCAGACAGCGTTCAAATGATCAATAGGCATCACCAGCCTCCAGCCAAATCCTATGACGACTGTGGCTTGCAGATATTCTTCACTCACAGAGGATCACTCCAAATCAAATTTCAAACTGCCATACCATACAAATCAAAAGGAGAAACAAAGCCACCTCATAGTGTATTAGTAAAAGTACTTTAACATTTATTACAAAGTCCATACACTCACATTATTCATAGTATAAAAGGCGTGTCATCAGTATTGGAAAAGTTTCAAACCAACAAGATGGCCACTATCGTTGTGCGTGATGACGTCACGCAGTAGAGCTACTTAGTACGCGATCCACTCTTCCAGGTTGGGTGCACGCACACGTGAGTGCCGCCCCTGCTGTGCTGTGATCCGGCACAGTACAAGCTGATGATCAGCGGGTCCCAGCCAATGATTGATGGCTAGGACCTGCTAATCGGCTCAGCCAATGATTGATGGCTAGGACCTGCTAATCGGCTCAGCCAATCACAGAACTATGCCCAGTGTTGATAAACAATAATGGGACTGTGCACTGAGAAGCAATCTGTGCTGTGAAAAAAAATGATAATTTAGTAAAAGAAGCACATAGTTCTTATAATAAACATTGTTAGGCACACAGTTAACCCCTTGATCACCCCTATATGTTAATCCCTTCTTAGCCAGTGTCATTATTACAGTGAATAGTATCAGCACTAATCACTGTATTAGTATCACTAATGATGTCAGTGTACCCCCCAGCTAGTACCAGCTAGTATCAGATTGTCTGGCACACTATCACAGTCCCACTATAAGTCACTGATCGCCATTACTAGTATTAAATAAATAAATAAAAATTCCAGTATATATACTATAGTTTGTAGACACTAGAACTTTCACACAAACCGAATAATATACACTCACTGGGTTTTTATTTTACTAAAGACATGTAGCAGTATACATTTTGGCCTTCATTCATGAAGAAAGTAGATTTTTTAAAATTTTCATTGGATATATTTTATAACAGAAAGTAAAAAATATATTTTTTTCAAAATTGTTGGTCTTTTTTCATTTATAAATAAAAAATAAAAACCCCAGTGGTGGTAAAATACCACCAAAAGAAAGCTCTATTTGTGTGAAAAAAATGATATAAATTTAATTTTGGTACACACGTTGCAAGACACACAATTGTCAGTTAAAGTAGAGCAGTGCTGAACAGCAAAAAATGGCCCGGTCGTGAAGGGGGTATAATCTTCTGGAGGGTAAGTAGTTAATGGATTGTCCATCCCTGACATTAGATATACAGGCGTACCTCGGTTTACAAATTTAATGCGGGACTTTTCGTATTGCGAAAAATTCGTAAACCGAAACATGGTTTCCCATAGGAATGCATTGTAAACCAATTAATCCGTTCCGGAGGTCAAAAAAAAAGTAAAAAAAAAAAAGTATTTTATCTGTTCAAAACTTTATAAAGTGCACTTTAAAGGCATAAATACTGTACAGGGACATGACTAAAAATTAATTTGTAAATGCATTGAAAACCAATTCATCCGTTCCGGAGGTCAGAAAAAAGTAAAAAAAAAAGTATTTTATCTGTTCAAAACTCTTTATTAAGTGCACTTCAAAGGCATAAATACTGTACAGGGACATAATTAAAAAAAAAAATTGTAAATGCATTGAAAACCAATTAATCCATTTGTATTAGTAAACCAAGGCATTATTTTCAATGAATTTTCATTCGTAAACCGAAAATTCCGTTAACCGAGGCATTCGTAAACCGAGGTACGCCTGTAGTAAGTCCGGGTCCTAAGGATGGCACATACAGTGCAAATAACAGAAGAAACAATTACTCAAGAGGGTCTCTTTAGTTTTTTTTATATAGTTGTAACACACTGCAGTGTTAATGATTGCAGATTGTTAAATGGTCACAAGATGGCAGTGGTCTGCAGTTCAGTTGGCACAGGACCTCCTATGGCAATGCTAAGAATGCTGGGACCTGTATGCTGAAAGCAAGATTTCTTCATACAGTTTAGCTGGAATAGAACTACAGACCCCAAGTAAGTGAACAAAGGGGTGGGAGCATGTAAAAAAAAAAGCCCGGGAAACCTGGGGAGGAGTGGAGAAGACTGAGAGAGAGGCAGGACATGTGTGAGAGTGGAGTGCCGATCCAGTAGACCATAGACTGGATCGGATTGAACCGGAAGTCGGAGATGGGGATTTCCAGATCTCTGATCATACTGAGAGGCTGGATAGTCGACCCTGCATACAAGTAGATTGGGTCATCACTATTGGCACCACTATCTCCATGAGAAGACAGCGAAAATTGGGGCTCCCTCAGCAGCAAGGCTATTGTTTTGCACATCTACATTGCAGGACCAAGTGGGAGGATTCCTAACCCATACCACACCACCACGTTACAAGTTCAGTTGTAGTTGTTGGCAGTTACTTAAAGGGTTACTAAACCCACAGCAGTAAAATCAGTCTGTAGTTGCTGTAAAGCATGCTTTTTATACTCACTGTGGACCCTAATTAGTTAATCCTACACACTGTATAAAAAGGCTGTTTGATCCTGTCTTCTCTGATCCTCCCATTCTACTGTTCCTGAACCATCTGCTGATAGTACAGAGCTCAAGGAGTCACTCTGCACATGCTCAGTTTAGTGTGTATTGTTAGTTTTTGGGGGGGAGGGTGCATGTGATCAGCACAGGACCAATCAGCACTGTCCCGAGAGAGGGTCAGGGGTCATGCAGCCTCATAGGACAATCAGAGCAGAATGAAAACTCACTACAAGAACAACCACTGCTCAGCTGGACACTGATAGAAGTCACTGCTATATACTGCTGATGAGAAAAGTTATTTAGCAGTTTATATTTAGTAAAATAATTGCATTTCCATGTTCTGTGTACTGTGGGAGAGCGGATACTGTATAGTGAATGCAGAGTCTAGGGAGACCAGATATAGTGAATGCAGGGTCCGGGGAGACCAGATATAGTGAATGCAGGGTCCGGGAGACCACATATATTGAATGCAGGGTCCGGGGAGACCACATATATTGAATGCAGGGTCCGGGGACACCAGATATAGTGAATGCAGGGTCTGGGGACACCAGATATAGTGAATGCAGGGTCTGGGGAGACCAGATATAGTGAATGCAGGGTCCGGGGAGACCAGATATAGTGAATGCAGGGCCTGGGGAGACCAGATATAGTGAATGTAGAGTCCGGGGAGACCAGATATAGTGAATGCAGGGTCCAGGGAGACCAGATATAGTGGATGCAGGGTCCGGGGAGACCAGATATAGTGAATGCAGAGTCCAGGGAGACCAGATATAGTGAATGCAGGGTCCGGGGAGACCGGATATAGTGAATGCAGAGTCCGGGGAGACCAGATATAGTGAATGCAGGGTCCGGGGAGAGAGCGGATATAGTGAATGCAGGGTTCGGGGAGAACAGATATAGTGAATGCAGGGTCCGGGAGACCAGATATAGTGAATGCAGGGTCCGGGGAGACCAGATATAGTGAATGCAGGGTCCAGGGAGACCAGATATACTGAATGCAGGGTCCGGGGAGACTGGATATAGTGAATGCAGGGTCCGGGGAGAGCGGATATAGTGAATGCAGGGTCCAGGGAGACCGGATATAATGAATGTAGGGTCCAGGGGAGACCAGATATAGTGAATGCAGGGTCCGGCGAGACCAGATATAGTGAATGCAGGGCCTGGGGAGACCAGATATAGTGAATGCAGAGTCCAGGGAGACCAGATATAGTGAATGCAGGGTCCGGGGAGACCGGATATAGTGAATGCAGGGTCCGGGGAGACCAGATATAGTGAATGCAGGGTCCGGGGAGAGAGCGGATATAGTGAATGCAGGGTCCGGGGAGACCAGATATAGTGAATGCAGGGTCCAGGGAGACCAGATATACTGAATGCAGGGTCCGGGGAGACTGAATATAGTGAATGCAGGGTCCGGGGAGAGCGGATATAGTGAATGCAGGGTCCGGGGAGAGCGGATATAGTGAATGCAGGGTCCAGGGAGACCGATATAATGAATGTAGGGTCCAGGGGAGACCGGATATAGTGAATGCAGGGTCTGGGGGAGACCGGATATAGTGAATGCAGGGTCTGGGGGAGACCGGATATAGTGAATGTAGGGTCGGGGGGAGACTGGATATAGTGAATGCAGGGTCCGGGGGAGACCGGATATAGTGAATGCAGAGTCCGGGGAGACCAGATATAGGGAATGCAGGGTACGGGGAGACCAGATATAGTGAATGCAGGGTCCGGGGGAGACTGGATATAGTGAATGCAGGGTCCGGGGGAGACCGGATATAGTGAATGCAGAGTCCGGGGATGTGATCAGCACAGGACCAATCAGCACCATCCAGAGAGAGGGTCAGGGGTCCTGCAGCCTCATAGGACACTGAGAGCAGAGTGAAAACTCCTCGTACAAGCTTTAACCAGTGCTCAGCTGAACACTGATAGCAGCCACAAGACTGCTATATACTGCTGATGAGAAAAGGTATTTAGCAGTTTATATTTACTAAAATAATTGCATTTCTGTGTTGTGTGTACTGTGGGAGACCAGATATAGTGAATGCAGGGTCCGGGGAGAACGGATATAGTGAATGCAGAGTCCGGGGAGACCAAATATAGTGAATGCAGGGTCCGGGGAGACCAAATATAGTGAATGCAGGGTCCGGGGAGACCAAATATAGTGAATGCAGGGTCCTGGGATTAGTAACACTTTAAGTCCAGGATTCTTACAATGCAGGCTGCCACATAGAGACACAGACTCTGTAGCCCAGTCATTGCTGCGGACTATCTACACACGTAGCCCATTGAAGTACTGCACACGGTATATCAACCTTTCAATTTCTGCTTTCCTGACTGGCAGGAACTGTAGTAAGTAAAAGTATAGTATCTTAGGTCATTTCTGTTCAAAAAAGCAACAAGTTCCACAAACCAAGTCTTGCACTTAAAGGGACATACTTCTACATTCTGCTCCCACCCCTCCTCAGTTTGAATAGCGATCATACCCTTTTGATGTGTTTAAAGTAAATTCCCAGCTTGTTGCCTTTATTAAAGGGGAACTTTGCTTGCTGTCTCATCTTCTCTAGGGAAGTGTCATTTCTCACAAAATAGGGACTACACCTCCACTGTGCACCAACATAAAGAGCTCCATCAAGCCGGCAGAAGAGTTTCTTCTGCATTGTGTGATAAGTTCTATATAATGGGACTTTTTGCTGTCTGAAACCCTCAAAGAGTTAAATATTGGTTCTGATTACTGGGAGCCTACAAGCAAGATAGTCTAACAGCCTTCTCTCTCCTTTTCCACTCATTTGGGGAAAATTCGCTCAGTAGGAGAGTCTGAGCCCTGCAGGACAACTGGGACTATTTCAAGTGGCACCATGCTGTAGTCTGTTGTTTATTTCTCCTGTGTGGTTCAATTTTACGCACATCAGTCACTGATGACTTTAATACAGACTGATTTGCTGTTCATCAGACGCTGTGTAATTATTGTGTGTTATAGCTTGGGGATACCTGCCCAAGGTTTTACAGTGGTGCTCAGAAGTGAACGGGGAGCCCAAAATACTCAGCGGCTCCTGTGAGGGTAGCACTACACAGTCATGCTAGGAATGTTGTTGTCATTTTGGACCATTGTCAGTACCTCTGCAATAATGGATGTTTAATTGTCTTCAGATGTAGGAGAAATTTCTGCTTCTCGTCAAATTTAAATATTTCAATACAGCTATTATAGTCAGGAATTGGATGATTCACAACAAAAAGGTAGACCGTGCCATCTAAAAGAAAGAAAAACAGAGGTCAGATAAGTTTTATGTAGCATCCTTTAGTTTGTTACTAGGGTAGTGTAGGTACATTTATAGTGTATGACTCACGGTAACTGTGTGAGTTTGTAATTTCGGTCGGGTTACTACAGGACAGGCAGGATGGCTAAACAGGTTGGGACTCTATTGCCTCCACCTGGTTCTGGAGGACCATGGAAACTTCTAGAAGCCAGTGGGTGGAAGTGGTGGAGACCTAATCTGCAAGTTTATGGGAGTCTAACTAATCGCAGGTTTGGAGGCCCTGGTAAAGTGGTGAGACCAACCCATAAATATGGGAGAGTCAGGCTGGCATGGGAGTTGGGTGGAAGATGGAGCACTGAGGAGACTGTCGGTGGCCTGGGAGGGGTCCCCTAGGTACAGGGGGGCTGGCCTCCAGGCTGGGCTTAGGCTGGCTCAGGATGATCCATTCAGCAGTGCAGTATGAACAGGACCAAGGCCTGGGAGCAGTGGGAGAAAGGTAGACAGCATGAGTTTGTCAGCTAAGCCTGGGATTCACAAGGGGAGAGACTGCCACGTGTAGCAAGCTTTCAAAGGACAGTGTTGTGCTTAATCCTTTAACCCTGTCCTGGGAGATCATCAGAGCAGCCAGGATGGCTAGTAGTATCTGCAGATGGTGGAACTGGGAGCAGTTATACAGGGGAGAGGAGACATCTCTGCACAGGAGACTTCCTGTCCCATAGCCACATCAGGAAGTGAGATGAAATCCTTCCACATTAAGGGAAATCCCTGGTGGTCACCAGAACTAGTGTCCCCATTGGAAGATTTTCCTGTTCTGGAAACCAATCAAAATTTTGGATTTTCTTTTACTTCCACTGTCCTGAGAAAAAATAGTAGCTATCATTGTTGACTTCTGAATATGTTGACTCTCTGGCAAATATATAGATCAGGAGTTGACTTCAGCAGGTGCATGTGGCTCAATAGGTACTGAATCCAGAGACAGCCAGGAAACTAAAATTTTCAAAAGGAGCTTAGCAATGACAGTCAGCATGTTTTTCTCATGAAAAGTTTATTTTGTTTGTCCGTCACTGCAAATGGTACAAAATAGTCTAAAGACTAGAACAGACAGCCAGCATACGGTCCTTTAGACTTTAGAGGGGCCTAATTGTGGCCAGTGGGAGCAGAAAATGTACAGTGCCAGTTGGAGTAAACAATGCTTTAGGCTTGGTTGTCAGAGACATAGTGCCCCATCATTGGTGTCAGTAGGAGGAATAGTGCCCCATCATTGGTGTCAGTGGGAGGAATAGTGCCCACATCATTGGTATCAGTGGGAGGAATAGTGCCCCATCATTGGTATCAGTGGGAGGAATAGTGCCACATCATTGGTATCAGTGGGAGGAATAGTGCCCCATCATTGGTATCAGTGGGAGGAATAGTGCCCCATCATTGGTATCAGTGGGAGGAATAGTGCCCCATCATTGCTATCAGTGGGAGGAATAGTGCCCCATCATTGGTATTGGTGGGAGGAATAGTGTCCCATCATTGGTATCAGTGGGAGGAATAACATCCCATCATTGGTATCGGTGGGAGGAATAGCATCCCATCATTGGTATTGGTGGGAGGAATCGTGTCCCATCATTGGTATTGGTGGGAGGAATCGTGCCCCATCATTGGTATCAGTGGGAGGAATAGCATCCCATCATTGGTATTGGTGGGAGGAATAGCATCCCATCATTGGTATCAGTGGGAGGAATCGTGCCCCATCATTGGTATCAGTGGGAGGAATAGCATCCCATCATTGGTATCATTGGGAGGAATAGTGCCCCATCATTGGTATCAGTGGGAGGAATAGTGCCCCATCATTGGTATTGGTGGGAGGAATAGTGTCCCATCATTGGTATTGGTGGGAGGAATAGTGTCCCATCATTGGTATCAGTGGGAGGAATAGTGCCCCATCATTGGTGTTGGTGGGAGGAATAGTATCCCATCATTGGTATCAGTGGGAGGAGGAATAGTGCCCCATCATTGGTATCAGTGGCAGGAACAGAGACCCATCGTTGGTGTCAGTGAGAGAATTAGTATTTGAATATTTGTCAATAGCAACCAATTAGTCTCTCACTGTTCACATCTCAAAAGACGTAAACAATAATTATGACTGCATACTACAAGCAGCAACTCTGCATTGGTTCCTGTTTGCAATGATTAGTTTTGATGAGTAGGGCAGAAGTAGAAAGTAGTGAATATTATTGAGGGATACAAAGATCAGTTGTAATGATTGCAGCGGGGATGAGTCTGCATGCTCTTATCAGCAAACACAGACAGAAGTTGCTTCAACATCATACTTTGTCCTGGATTCCAGTGACTGACTGATAGCCTTTAGCTTTGAACATTGAAATGATGACACTGTGCCCATTAGATCAGCAATCTGCATGATGCAGCTTATCTTTAATGCAATGCAAGTACACCTTTATATATACTGTGGAGTCCAGGTTGTATGACATGAAGCAGCTAGTTATCCTTTAGGCTCCATGCACACTAGACACTCAAAAAACGATAAAAAAAACCCCCACTGATAGTTAGTGTTTTTTTTTTTGCCAGCGATTTTGCAGTGTTTAGCAGCAAAGGTGTTAAGGAGCGCCAGCATTTTATAAAGGAGTGGGCGGCCGCCGCATCCAGTGAATTGCTGGTTGTCAAGGAGTGGGTAAGCAAGCTGGCCGCCGCATCCTTAACAATGGATGACTCATCTGCCAGCAATGAAAAACATAGTGGAGGTCCCCCCCAATCCTTAACGGGGTCCCCAGATCCCGCCCCCCTCATGTGAATGAATATGGGATACATTGTACCCCTACTCATTTGCCAAAAAAATGTCAAAAACAACAAAAACACAGAGAAACACAGTTTTTGACAAGTCCTTTATTTAAAAAAACAAAAACAGTGTCCCCTAAAGTAAGTCCAGCGTCAATCATGATGAATGCAGCCGCCGCCGCCCCCAACAAAAAAAAAAAAAAAGTTCCACACCTGACGCTGGCTCCCGCTGTCTGACAGCTCCGCTGCCTCCTGACGCTAATAAACTAAGTGGTGGGGCTACCCGACGATGTCACCAGATGACCCTGCTCCCTTGTGACATCATCAACCCAGCATACATTAGTTGATGATGTCACCTGATGACGTAATTGGGTAGCCCCTGCCCTTCGATTATTTAGCGTCGGGAGGCAGAAGAGCTGTCAGACAGCGGGAGCCAGATTCGGGTACGGAGCTTTTTTTTGTTGTTGTTCATTCTTGCAGACGGCGTTTATCATGATTGACGCTGGATTTATTGTTTTTTTTTATCAAATAAAGGACTTTTATTTATTTTGAACACTTTTTTGGTGATGGTCTGGTAATGATTTGGGGGAGGGACCCCACGCATTTTCAAAAAAATTTTGTTATAGTGTTCCCCTTAAAATCCATTCCACATCCAAAGGACATGGTATGGAAGTATTCAAATAGAATTTGAATCGAAAATATCAAATCGATCCAAATTCATTGTGCAGAACAGCTTGTTCTATTCTATTTGAAATTCAAATTTCACAAGACGGCTATATTTCTTTCTATTTTATTCTATTCTAATTGAAATTCGAATTTCAGAAGACAACTATATTCTTTCTATTTTATTCTGTTCTATTCTTTATTTTCTATTCTATTTTATTTTCTGTTTTTTCCATTCTATTCTTTTATTTTCGATTCTACTCTTTTCTCTTCTGTTTTACTCTATTCTACTCTTTTCGAAATTTGAATTTCAGAAGATGACTAAATTCTTTCTATTTTATTCTATTCAATTGTTTCTATTCTATTATTTTCTTTTCTATTCTATTCTATTCCTTTCATTTTCTATTCAATTCTATTCTGTTTTTACTCTATTCTATTCTGTTTTATTCCATTCTTATCGAAATTTGAATTTCAGAAGACGGCTATAGTCTATTTTGTTCAATTCGATTAAAAATTTGAAATTCAAATTTCAGAAAGATGACTATATTCTTTCTATTTTATTCACTTCTTTTTGAAATTCGAATTTAAGAAGAGGACTATATTCTTTCTAGTTTATTCTATTCTATTTTTTTTCTCTTGTACTCTTTTATTTTCAATTTTATTCTATTATTTTTTTATTCTATTCCTTAATTTTCTATTCTGTTACTTTATTGTTGTCTGTTCTATTTTGTTATATTCTATTCTTCTTGGAAGAAGACTATACTCTTTCTACTTTATTCTATATTATTCAAAATTTATCATTTGAAATTCAAATTTCAGAAGACAGCTATATTCTATTTTGTTCTATTTTATTCGAAATCCAAATTTCAAAATTTGAAGTTTGATAGATGGCTATATTCTTTCTTTTTTATTCTATTCGAAATTAAAATTTTGTAATTCGAATTTTGGAAGACGACTATATTCTTCCTATTTTATTTTATTTTATTATATTTTTTTCTATTCTTTTTCTTTATTTTCTGTTCTATTATTTTATTTTCTATTTTATTCTATTCTATTTTTTTTTAAATTCAAATTTTCGTAAGATGACTATATTCTAATACTAATACACACAGTATTTGAAGGAAATCAGCAATAGTCAGCAATATGTTTACATTTTAAATTTGAATTCAATTTAGTTTTCAATAGTTTCAAATTCTATATGAATTCGATTTGAATTCGGATAATTTTTTATTTCAGGCAAAATTTTGTTTTGTCATTTCAGATTTGTTTACATTTTTTTACTGTTGTACTTTGGAAATTCGGATACATCCAAATCTCTGAATAATGAAATTTCGTCCAAATTTTGATTCAGAATCGAAACAACCCGCACATGTCTACTGCAAAGTGAAAGTACGCAGAAAACAATAATGTACATAATGAGACATGAAGAAATAAAAAGATAATTTTTTTTTTTTTTTTGCCTAAACAGCTCAATGAGCAAAACAGAGCTTCCACTTCAACAAAATGTTGCTAAAGTAAAACAATCTGTAATGTTTTGGTAAAATACATTTTGCCAGAGTAACTACTTCTGCCATATGCCTAAACAGCCAAAATCACCAGACTGGATAGAGGGAGTGAATAGGGAATAGAATTCGGTTGTAGTTCCTTACCTCTCTCATCAATGTACACACTGAGCCCATGAGGATTAAATGAAGGAGCATCTATGTCTTTACTGAGCTGTAGAGGTTCGGGGTGAAGGACATCATCGTTCAGATCTACCAGCAATATTTCTGCAGGTCTGTCGGGTGCAAAACTCTTCATCGGTGGGTATTTTCAGGCCCTTCAAAGAGATATAACCTATTAGAACATACCTGGAAACGACTACTAATTAGATTCGCTGGAGAAGTATCAATCCAAAAATGTCAAATATTGTCCTTACAGAGCTGATGAATGCCAGTCCATTGGGAAGAACATGAATATCTTCTGAGCCATACTCTGTATAAAAAAAATGTTTGTAACCATTGTTATTAACAATGCCATCCATCCATACATGGGCTGTCATGTCTGACCTATTATATCTATAAATACTAGTTGCCAAACAGATCACCTTAAAAGCCAGTACTTTTCAGAGAAGTCAATAACGACACCCTCTATACCAGTGTTTCTATACCTTTTTTCAGTCAAGGCACCCTTTAAAATTATGGACAGTCCCGCTGCACCCTTTGACATTATGGACACCCATAAGGAAGAAAAATATATTTGAAATATATTTTTTAAATATTCTTCCCAAATATATTGGCATATATTTGAAATGCTACAATTTTGGCCATATTCAATATATATATATATATATATATATACTATATATATATATATATATATATATATATATAGTGCATGTTGAAATGCGTTTTAATTACAATTTATCTGAAAAATATTTTTTAAAATACATCTCAAATGTACTGTATGTCTTTAAAAATGCACATTTTTGGAATGCATTTACAAATATATGCAAAAATATATGTTAAAATGACTTTTTTATATGTTAAAAAGAATTTGAAGAACATATTTAAAAAAAATATGTTTTAAAATATTTTTTCATATATTTTGTAATATATAAAAACCGCATTTAAACATGTAGTGTATATATATATATATATATATATATGTATATATATATTAGTTCCCTGGTCTCCTCCTCCCATGCCCGCCTCCAGGACTTCTCCAGGGTGTCACCCATCCTCCGGAACTCCCTGCCCCAACCCATCAGATTATCACCTACTCTCCTCTCCTTTAGGTGCACCCTGAAAATCCATCTCTTCAGGGAAGCCTACCCCACCCCCTGCTAACCTGCCTACCTCCTCCACTCTTCCTACCACTCAATCCCCCACAGCTATCTCCTCCTGTGCCACCATCCCCTCCCTCCTAGATTGTAAGCTCGAAAGAGCAGGGCCCTCGATCCCCTCATGTTTTGCATTGTATTGGTATTGTTCTGTCCCCCTTTGTAATGTACAGCACTGAGCGAACCATTGGTGCTTTATAAATACTGTATAATAATAATAATAATACTGTATGTCTTTAAAAATACAAATCTACATTTTTGGAATGCATTTACAAATATATGCAAAAATATATGTTAAAATGACTTTTTTATATGTTAAAAAAAAATTTGAAGAACATATTTAAAAAAATATGTTTTAAAATATTTTTTTTTCATATATTTTGTAATATATAAAAACCACATTTAAACATGTAGTGTGTATATATATATATATATATATATATATATATATATATATATATATATATATATATGTGTATGTGTGTATATATATATATATATATATATATACTATATATATAGATATATAGATAGATATAGATATATATATACACTACATGTTTAAATGCGGTTTTTATATATTACAAAATATATGAAAAAATATTTTAAATACTTTTATACGAGTTTTTGGGCAATTTATAGACATTTTGCCAAGGCACCTCTGAAGAAGCCTCAAGGCACCCCTGAAGAAAACTCAAGACACCCCAGGGTACCTGGGCACCCTGGTTGAGAAAGGCTGATTTATACTTCCTCGCTACAGGTTTCTTAAAATGTCTAATCACGCTAAATTAAATTTACATTCCAGTCAAACAACTTTACATTGCCAGACAACAGCTATGTAGGAGACAGCTGACTCATAGTTGTAGCTTGTCTCAGCTGTGAGAAGTTTACTGAGACTAGCAACCGCAAGCAGCTTGCCTTGATTCTAAGCAATTTGCCTGAACAAGCAGCAGGAAGAGGAATGCAGAGCCTGACACATCTCTCCTTCCTCTGCATTCCTCTTCCTGCTGCTTGTTCAGGCAAATTGCTTAGAATCAAGGCAAGCTGCTGCTATGAATCAGCCGTTTCCTACATAGCTGTTATCGAATCAGCCAAGGAAAGAGGGGAAGGAGCAGGTCAGAACTCACAACTATGGTTAGAGAGCACTTAGAAATGTGGGACAAAGTACTTCAGTACAGCACTTTGTCTCTTGGGGGACAGAACTGTAAAAAAAAATTATAAGTCCTCCTGCACACGGGACGTTTTTACAGCGGCTGTTTTTGGTTTTTGATGTTTTTTTTCTACAGCCAGTAAACTCTCCCCAGCATGCTATCCTATGTGCCCATGCACACAAAGGTTTTAATCAGTGTTTTATGGCAGGGGCATTTTTTGGCTGGAAAAAAACCCAGAACTAGTGGGTTTCTAGAGAAGTTTTTAAGCTGTAAAAATGCTCTAACGCTAAAAAACGCAATAAAGCACGGCTAAATGCTAATGCAAAAATGCTAAAAAATGCTGAAAAACTTGCATTTTTAACACGACTTTACACAGCTAATGCTACCAGCTTTATTAAAATGCCTCTCAGTGTGCATGGAGCCTAATCATCAATCATTAACTACATTACAGCTATGCTACACTATGTAGATAGACTGGTAAATAAACAGAAATAGCTTGCATATATTATTAAAAAAAAACAAAAATGATCTATCTTATGCACAGAATGGTAACTCCCAAATAAGATCATTTAAAGTGGTTGCAAAGGCTGGACATTTTTTGTCTTAAAGTGTTACTAAACCCACAACAGTAAAATCAGTCTGTATATGCAGTAAAGCATGCTTGTTATACTCACTGTGGAACCTAAGGGGTTAATCCTGTGAAAAAAGGCTGTTTAATCCTGTCTTCTCTGATCCTCTCCTTCTTCCACTGTCTCCAATCTATCTGCTGACAGTATAGAGCTCTAGGAGGCACTCTGCACATGCTCAGATTGGTGTGTATTGCCAGAGAGTTTGTTTTTTTTTTGGGGGGGGGAGTGCATGTGATCAGCACAGGGCCAATCAGCACTGTCCAGACAGAGGTCAGAGGTTATACATCCTCAAAGAAAACTCCTCCTACAAGCTTTACCCCAGTGCTCGATTGGACACTGATAGAAGTCACAAGACTGCTATATACTGCTGATGAGAAAAGGTATTTGGCCGTTTATATTTAATAAAATATTTGCATATCTAAGTTCTGTGTACTGGGTTTAGGAACACTTTAATGTATTGCATCAGGGTAAAAAATGTCCCTGTATCTGTATCACCCTGCAACCCCCCACCTTATACTTACCTGAGTCCTTTATTGATCCAGTGCTGTGCCATTGGCTCCTGCTGCTGTCAATCAAATTCTGTAAGAAGTGGGCAGGGCTGAGTAGTGCTGTGTGTGTGAACAGATGCATAAAGCTCGGCTTGAGAGTGAGCCCACAGGTGAGCCCTCGTAGGAAGCAGGAGGAGCCAAGAGCTCTGGCTGGAGACCCCAAAAGAGAAGAATCGGGACCATCGCAACAAAGCAGGTAAATATATATATATTTTTTAATTGAAGCTTTACAATAACTTTAAATACATCACCACAAAAAAGAAGTCAATGAATGACCACATACATACCAATTCCTTTCACCAGCTGACAGTTTGGAAGATCAATAAATTCTACCTCTTTGAAGAAGCCAGTCCTATGACTGCAAAAAAGAAAGCGTATCTATGGTAAAAATGTAAAATCATATATTCATTTGCACATTGTTAGTTATTTGTAGACTACTCCGATTAATCTAAAAATTACTTTGTGAAGAAGATTCCCATACATTTCCTTCCTTGAATTCTGTGACCTGTAGTCACTTTATCCTGTAGGTGGCACTGCTGTGTCACCATTTCACAGAGCCTGCCTTCTGATCTACTGAGAGGGGGAGTTTCAGGAGGCGGAGTCAGTACAGTGCTTGCAGGCAGCAAGGTACCATGGGTTATGTAGTCCTCAGAAATTGAGGGTAAGCTGCAAAGTATGCAGGAAATCCAGGAAGTTGTGGAAAGAGATAGTCAGCAGACAGGCAACATTCACAACATGAAAGGGCATTTTAGCTTTTATTGGATTGTCAAATATAACTATTGTTTGTATTATTACAATGCTGATTGATTGATTTATTTCAGGTACTTATATAGCGCCGTCAATTTATGCAGCACTTTACATATATATTGTACATTCACATCAGTCCCTAATCCTCAAGGGGCGTACAATCTAAGGTCCCTAACTTACACATACTAGGGCCAATTTAGACAGGATCCAATTAACATACCAACATGTCTTTGGAGTGTGGGAGGAAACCCACACAGGCACAGGGAGAACATGCAATCTCCAGGCAGATGGTGCCATGGTTGGGATTTGAACCAATGACCCTAGTACTGCCATGTGGAAGTGCTAACCATTTAAACACTGTGCTGCCCACTGATGATATAAAGTGAAAGTGTATATTGTTACCGTAGATCTCCTTTAACCACTTCAAGTCCAGACACTTTCACCCCCTTCCTGCCCTGGCCAATTTTCAGCTTTCAATGCTATTACACTTTGAATGACAATTGCGCGGTCATGCAACACTGTAGCCATATGCATTTTTTAGCATTTTTTTGAGACAGATAAAACTTTATTTTGGTGGTATTCATTCACCACTGGGATTTTTATTTTTTTGCTATATAAGTCCAAACATTTTGAAAAAAAAAGTGTTTTTCTTTTAAAATTTTGCAAATAAATAATCTTTGTTCATAAATCTTGGCCAACATGTATTCAGCTATCTTTTTAGTAAAAAAACAAACAACTCAAATTAGTTTATAACCAAAAATTATAATTTTTTAAAAAATTTTTTTACATTTTTATTTTTTTTTATATTATTATTTCTGGGTTTTTTTTTTTAACATACTGTCACCCTAGCAGTATAGTGTCACTATAAATGTCAGAAGTGACATCTTGCTTACTACTCTTCATGTGATCACTGATTCGCCAACAAGTGATCTCATGATCGGGATCTCACACAGAGGTCCCATACAACAATCGGTGTTCTGCTGTGTCTGGAGGACACAGCAGGGACCGGATTGTGGTGCTGCACGCTCCCAGGGAGTGCGCACAAGCAGGGAGCGGGGAGGACGTTTATAAAAAGCCACCCGACCCTGCACTGCTCCCGTTCAGCCGTTTATATTCTTGGGCCAGACGGGAAGTGGTTAACCACTTGACCTCTAGAGGATTTACCCCCCTTAATGACCAGGCCTCTTTTTGCTACTCGGCGCTGCACTAATTCAACTGATAATTGCGCGGTCATGCAATGCTGCACCCAAACAAAATTTACGTCCTTTTTTTCACACAAATAGAGCTTTCTTTCGGTGGTATTTCATCACCTATGCGCTTTTTATTTTTTTTACTTTCAGCTATAAAAAATATATAGTAAACTCAAAGTTGGTTATAAATTTAGGCCAAAATGTATTCTGCTACATGTTTTTGGTAAAAAAAATCCCAATAAGTGTATATTGATTGCTTTGTGTGAAAGTTATAGCGTCTACAAACTATGGTATAAATACTGCAATTTACGCCATTTTTCTGCTATACAGCGCTGCGCTAGTTTAATGGACAATTGCGCGGTCATGCAATACGGTACATAAATGAAATTTACATCCTTTTTTTCCCCACAAATTGAGCTTTCTTTTGGTGGTATTTGATTGCCTGTGCGGTTTTTATTTTTTGCGCTATAAAAAAAAAGGCTGACAATTTTGAGGAAAAAAAACAATATTTTGGACTTTTTGCTATAAAACATGTCCAGTTAAAAAAAAATGCAAAAATCAAATTTAGTCATAAATTTCTGCCAAAATGCATTCTGCGACATGTCTTTGCTAAAAAAAAACCAATACGTGTAAATTAATTGGTTTACGTGAAGGTTATAGCGTTTACAAATGGCGGGAAAGATACTGGGATTTTTAGGTTTTTTTATACTAATAATGGCGGCGATCAGGGACTTATGGCGGGACTGCGGCAGACATTCTGATATTGGGGGGTACTGACTTGGGGTCACTGACATCCCCAAAAACACTAATACAGTGTCAGTGAAAAAAAAAAAAAAACACTGACACTGTACTAATGGCAATGGGGAGGAAGGGGTTAACTTTATTTAGCAGGGAAGGGTTATAGGAGTGAGGGGAGTGTTTTACTAGGGGGCGGGGGTGTGTGCTGGACGGGACAAGGCTGAACGAGAGAGAGAAACTGTTCTTTCTTGATCAGCTCATCCTCGAGCTGACGGGGAAGTGACAGACAGCACAGCTACTGCAGCTGTGCTGTCTGTCACTGTTTGCCGCCAATCGCCGGGAGATAGCAGGTAAGGACCGGCTGTGACCCAGCGACTCACATCTGCGGCGGTGATTGGCGGGACAGATAGGGCGGCGGCATGCCTCGCGCGCGCCCCCTAGCTGTTTACAAAACAAACATTTTAAAACGTGGTTTTGCCTGCCAGTGCTGCCCTGCCGCCGTATATGTACAGTGGCAGGGCGGCAAGTGGTTAAAGGAGAATTATGGCCAAAACTATACGTCTCCTATGGATCGCAGAAGTGCAGTTAGTTCTGCACTCCTGTATCACATTTTCAGTCAAGCCCACTGTCGACTGACGTCACTCAGCCAGTCCAGGCTCTGGAAACATCCAAATGGTCATGATCCACCCAGATGCCTAGATCGGCAGCTGATTGAACCTCTCAACAAGCTGCTGAAAGCCTGAGCCAGCCCCTCCCGCCTCCTCCACAGCCTGGAGTTTCAGTGAGCACTGGAAGGGCAGAGCAATGAACTGATGGCTGACAGTCACTGCTCAGAGCGGAAGGGAGAACTTAGTCAGCAGCGGCCCCAGTTCTCAGTGTAGAGCCAGCGGGGGACACATGCAGCATAGGATCAATGCTGCACCCACCTACTGTAGGTGAGTATGAATGTTTTTTTTTTCCCAACCCCATAATTTTATTTCAAATCAAATAATAATCACCATAAGCTTCTCAGACATAAATGTATTCCATCACAAACATGAAAGTGTGCATACAGGGGCGGACTGACAACTCATGGGGCCCCCGGGCAATAGGGGATCATGGGGCCCCTGTGTCCTTGCCCAAACTCAAAAAAGCCTATGAAAAAGGTACCAGGGGCATCTCATGGGGCCCCCTACTGACCCCGGGCCCTCGGACAGTGCCCGAGTTTCCAAATGGTCAGTCCGCCCCTGTGTGCATAGTATCATCTGAAGGGCTGTATTGTTTAAAAGTGATATTCTAAGTAACGGTCTTATAAATGTCTGGGATACTGCAGCAAGATCTGCTTAGAATTACTCCTGTTCTCCTGGGCGTACTGACTACTTCTGCCCAATTTTGTGTGTTCCAGCTCTTCCTTTTAAATTCCCCATAATAGAAAAAAAAAACAGCATGGATGACGGGACCCTTTATATTACCCAGATCGGGTGTTAGAGATGTGCATGATGGAAAAACTTGTTTCGGATTCGTTGGTTAAGTTAAAATTTTGTTTCATTATATTCGTTATTTTAGAATTATTTATTTTCAAAATTAGTTTCATATATTCGTTATTTTCAAATTGATTAAAAATTTGAATTTTTTTATTTCAGAAGCTATATTCATTCTATTTTATTCTATTGTATTATTTTATGTTAAATTATAGTCTATTATATTCTATTTTATCCTTTTATTTTCTATTTCATTCTTTTCTGTTATATTCTATTTTATTATTTTCTATTCTATTCTTTTTTATTCTATTCTGTTTTATTATTTTCTATTCTATTCCTTTATTTTCTATTCTATTCTGTTTTATTATATTCTGTTTTATTATTTTCTATTCCTTTATTTTCTATTCTATTTTGTTTTACTCTATTAAGTTATTTTCTATTCTATTCTAGTCTATCATTTTTTTTCTATTCTATTAAGCAACCTAAGTAGGAATCATCATCTCATTTCACTATTATACCTTGCTGTATTTATTGTAAAACATTTCCATTATGAATTTGAGTTCATTTTTCAAATTCAAGTTTGAATTCATTTTCAAATTTATTTTCAAATTTGAATTTAGATAATTTGTTTCCTTTTAATTTATTTTGGATTTGTTGAAATTTGTTACTATTGTGATTCTGAAATTCGGATACATCCGAATCTCCAAATAATGAAAATTTTGTCCAGATTTCAATTTGTAACAAAACGAATCACACATGTCTATCAGGTGAAACTCAGCACAGAGATCCAATCAATAGAGTACCTAAGAGCAGGGGCGGACTGACCATTCGGGTACTCGGGCACTGCCCAAGGGCCGGGGGTCAGTAGGGGCCCCATGAGATGCCCCTGGTATCTTTCATAGGCTTTTTTGGGTGTGGTTTGAGTGTGGGCGAGGACACAGGGGCCCCATGATCCCCTGTTGCCTGGGGGCCCCATGAATTGTCAGTCCGCCCCTGCCTAAGAGATAGAAGAAACAGCTGGTTTAACCTTTCAGCCTCTATAAAACATTGCAGTATTTTTTTGGGTGCATTAACCATTAAAGTGCATGTACGCCAACCCACCTTGGAGTATTTTCCTTTATTATAGTAGCAGTATTGTGGGGCGTATGGGTGATTAAACTGTTTGTCCGTAGGCTCATCATTTCAACAAAGAAAAGGCCACATCACTGTGGTATGCTATCATT